ATATTTTGTGGATTGTTGAGTGCTACACTATCTGCATTGCTTGAATGTTCTCCTCGTGTTCATGTGGTTTTCCTCTGGGTGCTCTGTTTTCCTCCCACTGTCCAAAGACTTACTGGTACTGTAGGTTAAATGTCTTCTGGGAAAATTGACCCTGGTGTGAGTGTGAGTGTGTGTATGTCTATGTCTGTGTGTCTGTACTGGCATTCCATCCAGGGTGTACCCCGCCTTGTGCCAGAATAGGCTCCATCTCCCACGTGACCCTGAACTAGATAAAAGTTGGACGGAAGATCCAAAAGTTGGATGGAAGATAAATATGACATTATGTTCTGTGCAAAGCTAAAATGATTACAGCACAAAAAAACCTTATCCAATCCAAAATGTATTCTCATTATATGATACTTTTGCTCCTATTACATTATGATTGAATCTGGGGGGCAGCGTATAACTTTAAACTAATACTAAAGCTTTTCTGTCTTAAACACACAGATAAATAAACATTACTAACACATGAGTAACTGTTTACCCAGAATAACGTGCAAATAGAAACGAAATAAAACTTTAGGAAAAAGTAAAAAATAACGTTCTTTCTGTGGCAAATTCTCTGTATTATTCTCTGTTCTTTTGTTCAGCGTAATGAAGGGCTTTTTTGCCACTACCTGTGCTATCATCTGCCAGAGGCCAAAGTAAACTGATTGAGAAAAAGCTTTTTGTTGGTAATCTGCTGTGATTCTACATTTTGTAGCATTCCATCAGAAAGGAGGCTTATGTCAAACAAAGATGCATGAAACAAGTATTCAATTATTAAGAAAGTGTTTTCTTAGAAAGAGTTAGAAAGACACCAAGGTGTTTAACACGAATACCTCATGAATAGCAGCAAGAGTCTATATTGATTAACCAGCACTATGTGGGAAGATATGAAGGAAACTGACTCATGGGGTGAGAGAATAAAGGAATCCCTCCAATATACCCATATTTTCATGCTTTACTAATCTAAACGATTTAGTCAAATCGGGGATTTTCCCTTTTGTATGTAATTGGAATTTGCATAAGAATAAAACCAGTACATTTCCACCAATCAATCATTGTTAACTTACATTATTATTTTACGCAGCAAAATGAATACAAATTGCAACCAAGCCAAGTACAGTAATTGTTTTATGCATTCTAATGTGAAGCCACAAAATCAATGTTAACATATCTATTTTTAATTGCATAACATGACATTGTATTGTGTCCATATCCAGGACAAATTACAGGGGGTATAGAAAGTCACCACCCCCTTTCAAAATGTTCAACATTTGTTGCCCTAGAGTCCAAAAAGAAGACAAATAAATTCAGACTTTTTCCAGTTTTATTTACAAATTGTACCTTGCAACATCCAAGTGAAAAAAGAAAGCAAAATTTCTGAAAAAAATCAAATAAAAAGTAGAGTAACTGGGTTGGATAAGAGAGCACCCCCCTGGGTTAATGATTGGTGGCAGCACCTTTTGCTTGAATTACAGCCTTGAGTCGGTTTGGATACATCTCTACCAACTTTGCACACCTAGAGGGAGGAATATTTGCCCATTCCTCCTTACAGAATTGTTCAAGCTCAAAGTGCGTGGTGACTGCTGATGGACTGCCCTCTTCAAGTCATTCCAAAGATGTTCGATGGGATTTAGGTCGGCACTCTGACTAGGACACTCAAGGACATTCACCTTCCTGTCCCTCAGCCACTGTACGGTTGCTTAGGTGGTTTGTTTTTGGTTTCATTTTGAAAGGTGAACCATCTTCCCATTTTCAACTTCCTGGCTGAGGGCTGCAGGTTTCTTTAAGAATTTGCCTATATTTTGCACCATCCATCTTCCCCTCTATCCTGACAAGTGCCCCAGTCCCAGCTGAAGTGAAACCACCCCACAACAGGATGCTGCCACCACCGTGCTTTACTGCAGGAATGGTGTTCTTTGGATGGTAAGAGGAATTGGGTTTTCGCCACACCCAATTTTTTGCATTGAGGCCAAAAGGTTTGATGTTGGTCTCATCTGACCACAGCATCTTTAAGGTGATTTTAGCAAAACATAAACTTTATTAAGTCCTGATGTGGCTTTTTTTAAAACAGACCACATTTGTGTAGCATTTGTGATGTTGTTGTCACATGCACACAATGACCAGTCTTTGCCATAAAGGCCTGTAGCTCATTCAAAGCTGCCATCTGCCTCTTGGTAGCCTCTCTGATCAGTCTCCTCCTTGCTCGGTCATCCAGTTTGGAGGGACAGCCTGATCTAAGCAAGGTCTGGGTGGTGCCATACGCCTTCCACTTCTTAATGATGGTCTTGACTGAGCTCCATGGGACACTTAAAGCCTTTGAAATCTTTTTATACCCATCTCCTGACTTGCACCTTTCCACAACTTTATCTCAAAGTTCTTTTGAAAGCATCTTTCTGCCCATTGTGGATACTTGCTTTAAAACACACTTCCAAGCATAGAAATCTCCTAAAACCATCAGCTTTGATTCAGAACTAATCAAAGGCACCACAACTGATCACAGTTGGGAGCCAGTTAGTTTGTTGTGTGATCTGTAAGGTGACTGGTTATACCTGAGCAAGTTTGCAACTGCAATTGTAAGGGGGGTGTTCACTTATCTAAATAATACTGTTGTAATATTAGTTAATTTGCAGATTTTAGAATTTTATTTTCACTTGCCCAATGTGGGCTACTGTGTGTAAAACTGGAACGAGCCTGATTTATTATTTCTTTTATCTTCATAGTGTCATACAACAAAAGGTACACATTTTGAAAGGGGGTGGTGACTTTTCATATCCACTGTATATATTCCATGGGCTCTTTTTGGAACTGAGAAGGCTGTCAACAAAGAAAGGAATAGATGAAATTTGCCCTGTGTGGCACAATACATGTTTAAAGTTAATGACTCTCCTTCGGATTTATCATTACTGCTCCCTGATGGAAGGATTCTGTTCTTGTTACTCCTGGCTTAAGAAAAATGTTTTCGTTAACACTGTACAGTGCTCAGAAAAATAAAATCAGGTCACCAGTTTTTTCAAGGAACTGCAGAAATGCCAAAAAATTTTGCTACAATTCTAGTAAACATGGTATGTGTTGATTTGATACTGATCCTATTTTGCAACATGAAAGACAAAGAAAACCAATAACCAGCAATTGCGGGTTGGTTCAAATCTGTCATTCCTTCCAGAAGAGCCAAATAACAGGTTAAATAAAAATGTAATGTACAGTACCTCAAGAAATTACTAACCTCAATTACCACATGCATACAAACATTTTATGACTCGGAAGAAAACCCAGCTATGTTGAATTACACAAGGGATAGATTCAGAGCATTTCACACAGTATTTTTATCAATATGTCCCTACAGTATACAGTATTTCTAAATAATCAGGATTTAGAAAACAGTGAAAATAGTAGAGAAACTCTGTATTTAACCTCATCCTAGACAACATTATATGAAGCTAGTTCCCTCTCCTGGTATCACGACCTATCTAGATATTATTTATAATTATCGCTCAACTGTTAGGATCTATAGTGTAGGTGGAAGGGGAGAGTGAAGGTTTGGAGTTGCTGCTGATGCTTATTGAAGTCATCTCCACTGTAGCTTTCAGACAATATTTTAAGAGACCTCAGCTAGACACTTGGGGGATAGTGAAGAGTTTCAGATGTTGTTCTGTTATCTATGGAGAAAATAAAATGCTTAAAATACATAGAACCTGAGGCAGTAAGGAAACTGTGACCGTACTGTCATACATGACACTCAAAAATCTGCTAGGACGTTTTTCTTTTTGAGGTGTTGTGAGGGATATTGTGATATTATTTTTCTGTGTTTTGTTGTTATTTTGTACCGTTTCTCCCCCACAAAATTGTATTTTCAATCGCAAAATCAGAAAGGAAAAGATGCATCCAGCCAAACACATGTCCTTTCTCAGCTTGTGTTGTCCAGGTTAGGCTCCTGATTACATGAGCAGATCTTGGCTAGTAAGGGAATTTGATTTAAATTTGATTTTTTATTTAGAATTTGATTAGTAAAGAGAGACTTTATTATCTGCAGCTAGAGATGTGTTGTCAATTTTAAAACTGCTACTATAAACATAAAACAAGTTTGTATATTGTTATCAAAAATGTACTTTCTTTCGCTGTGACCTACTGTACAGTGATTTATAAAGAGGAGAGATATGCACTGCTAGGCCAGGATTCATGGTAAAGCATCATTTTTAGATACTGTATATGCCAGATTATAGCAGATGACTCTCACACACGCCCAAATTCAGTCCATATAAAAAAGGTTTCAGACTGTCTAAAGAGTACATTTCTATTCTGTATTTTCTCAAATGTATAAAGTTGTTTTTTTGCAAAAGCTGCCACAGAAGTTACATCAGGGTTTGAAATGACATTCAAATATCAGATGAACTGGGCAAATTGTACTGTATAAGGGGCAAATGCAGACATGTCTTCAATAAGTGAACACTTAATAACATAATATAGCTATTATATTATATATAAGAGATATATCTTATATAGCATACTGTCAAAGACAATGGATTACCTTGGGCAAAGGGTGATTGTGTCATGACCTCCTTTTTTTTTTCCTTTTCACAAATAAATATCATATCTTAGATACTTACACATAGATCACAACAGTTTGGAATGGACTGTATGCACAGACATCTCCAAATGATGAACATTTGTGTTTTGATCAACACACCAATTATACCAAAATCTTAATCTAACCTTTACCCACTTTAAACCATTTTAGGCATGTGCACTTCCTATCTAGCTACATCCTACCAGTTATTTTTCATTGACGTATCATATTTACTTTGCTCATTAAAATAGGACACTACCCATTTACATCTCTACAGTGTTTTGTGTGTACCACGTACAACCAGAGCAGATACTTTATAGCTTTATAGGCCATGCCATTACATGCCAGTATACAGGCTGCATCTTCAGATCAATAAAATCAGAAGAGACACAAAAGGGTCATTACTTACTTCGGGTGTGTAAATCTGTCAACAAGAGACACCTTCTCTACGAGGTCCCCCCCAACGTTTCGCACCAAATCGTAGAAGTCATTTTCTGCATAACCCTCAGATGGAAGCCAGAATGAAATGTCATTGATTAATGGTGGATACTTGCTCAGTGGCTGGAAAGACAAAAAACAAAGAGAAGAGGTTTGGCTTTAGAAAATCAAAGGAAAAAATCTTCTCTATTTCATACATCGATAACTGACTGCAGGGACCCTCCTGAAAAATGAGCATCTAAGATTAGTCTATTTTGAAACAATTACTTCGACACAAAAATATTTTCTTTTGCGAAAGGCTGTTCACAGCCTTATTTTCACTGTTTCTCCCTCATTTCACACCAAATGCATCTGAATTTAACTTTTCTGTTTGGAATAAAACCAATTTCCACTAGAATTGAATGCTTATTCCAGACAAATATGACTCATCTGTAAAGACATCCCTATTATTACAAAATTGGTAAATACTTGTCATTATTTCCCACCAGTGCCAACAAATTTTTAGTTCAACGTTGAGCTTGAAGTAATCCTTCAAATACAAATTCCTATGACTTTTATCAACTCAGCTGCTTAATTGACTTCCGGTTTTCTAATCCTCATTGCACTAAAGAACAATTTAATAAAGCGATTCAGCTCCTTTAATATGAAAGCATTATGAAATACATTTAAAACCAGGAAACTTTCTGTTTGCCTTTCTTCAGTTCCAGTGAATAGACTAAAGCAAGGTGCATTAAGATTGCAATATTTTTTTTTATTTCAGATTATTTATTTTATTTTTACTTTTTCCCTGTATATAACCAAAATTCTGTTCAAAATAAGACTAGTTTAAATCTTATAGTCTCTCTTCTGTTTACTTTATAATTCAGATAAAAGTATCCCATCATTCCATATTGCAAACAGGCCCAGCTATTACATGTATAAAGTAATTAAGTTTATACATTAATTCATTAATTGACCTTCAAGTTGACTTCCTGACGCAGCCACCCACCTGAACTACATGTATAAAGTCTATTATTATATCACAGATGATGTACTGTATGTAACAAATTCTAAAGGTTATGAGCTTAGACTAAACTATCAACTACAGTTTAATGACTGCTTTAAAAAAACGTCATTATTTCATACCTGCTCAAAACTGAACTGAATTTTCACCACAGCAGTCTTGGTAAATTTCATGCATAAAAAGAAACTGAATCATTTGGTTTAATAAAACCCCCCATTAAAAATATACTTAATACTTAATAAAAGGAAGTGTCTGGCGATAAAAAAATATAATTAATGATGCATTGTGGGTTACAGAAAAAGGCAAAAGCTGTAATGGACAGTTTAAGCTCAATTACTCTGATTAAGGGTAAGGAGGAAGAAGAGTTCTTCGTAGTCAGCTTTTTTTGTGTGTGGAACCTATTTTTATTTTCTAACTTTTGGCCATTCACGATAAAGAAATACAAAGAGAAAGTCACATGTGTAGAGGAATTTAAAGGCTAACACTTTCACTAGTATTTTCGAGTAGAATTACAATTTTTCTGTAAGAGTTCAAGTATCTGTTCTCATTTTATGTGTGTAAATTTTAATTTCCATGCAAATCTGTCAATCCCTTTTTATCCAACATACAGGGTCACAGAGGTGCCAGAGCCTAATCTGGCAAGCAAAAAGACAGTCACACACTCACACCAGGGCCTATTTTCCCAGAATCCCACTAACCTACCAATATATCTGAGGACTGTGGGAGGAGTTCGGAACACTCAGAGGAAACCCACATAAACAGGGGGAGATATAAAAACTACACACAGACAGCACCTCAGAAATTGAACCCAGAGCCCTAGCTCTGTGAAGCAGCAATGCTAACCATTGTGCCTCTGTCACAATACCATGTAGTGCAGTATATACAATTGTATTTTCCTGGTCAGTGTGATAAAGTAATTAAATTATTTCTCTGACTTAAGTCCAAATTTGTATTACTGAGGTATTGTTCACCTTGTTTTATGGCCTCCATTTTGAATCAGAAGATAGTGAATAGTGCATTTTGTTTAGTTTCACTGTCATTATCTACAACTATATTTTTCCTGGCTATGTGTCACACAAAGCAGCAACCAAGGTACTCCTAAAATCTGTCAGACATTGTCACAAGAACCTTCTAGATCAAAACAAGTTGTACTGCACAAAAAATCAAGTTGCCTGACACCTTGCATTACGTTATTCATCCTGTGCAAAAAAGATTTTCTTCAAAATTTTTTGTATTGAAGTCTCCCCCAATTTTGCTACCTGTAGATACCATACGATACAGACTGGCAGAGGGAAATGTGTTTTTTTACAGGAGATTGGTTTCCTTACATGTGAACATTAGCCTGCTAAAATAAAAACAAACAACAGAATAGATCACAGTGGGAGTGAAGTTAGGCCCAACAGTATCAAAGGTAATTTGTTTGAGAGAACAGCAATCATTCAGGACAAGAGTGAACCTACAAATATTGACAATTTTGAGAGGTGTTGCCTTTTCTGTTACCCCATAATTTCATCAACACCGTACATTCCACCTGCTTAATGTAGACTGTTGATAATGTTTTAGTGTGGATGACTTACCTGTTTATCCAACATATCTAAGCATAAGGTGTAAGGTGGAACCACACTCTTGACAGAACAGTCCTGGCATGCACACACACAGTTATTTTGAAATCCAAAACCTTAATTCTAAGCAATTGCAGAACTAAAGCTTACACTGCCTTCTGTCCCAGACTGTTCAATGACACACACAATGGTAATAAAAACCATATTTTGTGTTTATAACCAAACTCAGGGTGAATGCTTTACATCACAAGGCTGCCACTGTAATTTAGTAGGCTCTGAAAAAAAAATGCATAAAACATTGAGCATTATATCAATCATTCTATAGTTTGTTGCCATGTCACCATAAAATACCTTCAAATATATATGCCATTTTGACACACTTATACTATGTACACTAAACTACTGTATATATGAATACTTAACTATTTATATTACTGCCAAAGAAATTAGGAAAAGAAAGCTAGACGTTTTGCTACACAGTGAAGCAATTTTTAAATTTTGTCATCAGATCAAAATGAATGATATGTGCAATATCCAATATCATATACTCTGAATTGTGTGGTACCTCCATGCATACATTTAAAAATATTTGACCAAAAACATGTTTTGTATTCAACCTAGTGATTTCAAGAGACCATATGTATATGGACATAATCTCTTTAATATTTCAGAATGCCAAGGTCAGTTTTTGGTTGCATATGCCTTTAAGGCAATAACTGCATAAAATCTTTGATCCTCTGAGTTAACTCCTTGTAAATTATTTGCGATGCTTTGCCAAGCTTTTGGTGCCACTTTGAGTCTAACCTTTTGTTCAGCATATAAAATTCATGCTCAGTTTGATTTCAATCTGGAAATTGACTTGGCTAGTCTAAGATTTTCAATTTTTTTCTGTGAAGTCCTCTACACTTATTTGGACAATGCAAGGGCCAAGAGATTCAAGAATGAATCCAATTGCTGATTTAGCTGGATTTCACAAGCTGGCGGGCAAAAATGAAACTACAAAGTTCCAAGCAGAAACCGGAAATGAGGTCAGACAGACTTAAAGAGAAGTCGGGGAAACAAGCAGTGTTCAAAACACAGTTAAAAAAACTCTTCTTGAAACAATAGTAAAGATTCAGAATTCACTAGTTCTAACTGGAAGCAAAATAGTGGTACGGTACAGTATATAATCGGGGCCTGTTCAATTCCAAACTCCAGGGAAATGTTTTCATGTAAGATGACAGAAAAAAAGTAAAATATGTGCATTTGCAAAGAAATAGTGAAAACACCCATAAAAACGATCAAGATACTAATTTTACAAGAGACCTTGTAGGTTTAGCAGTGGTTTGTGCTAAGGTTGCATGCTTTACTTTATGTTAGGTATGGAGTGTGGAGGCAGCTCTCTTCCCCGTGACAGTCACAAACACCAAGATGACAAAAGTACATATTGTTAATGTGTCTTCTTGTTTTACGTAACTAAACTCTTGCCAAGCAGATTTCCCTCATGTGCCTTTGAGGATATTTAGGGATCTATGAGCTAAGGGACTTCCTCAATCAGGGCTGTCACATCCTGAGAGCATCACTTCTTTTAGCTGCAACACTGAACTGTTAAATAACCTGCTTGCCATCTGTGAAAGAGAAATACATGTGCTGCAGGAATCAACAGAATGTTCATAATGTGGTTTCACAATAAATAAACCAAAATAAAAATAAACTCAAACCATTAGTACTGTCATATGAGAAGGGGGTCATATATAGACATGCCAACTACACTGTTCTGGAGACAATTATACCGGAGCACTTGTTTCTTTCACCCTTTTGTGAAACTCTGCTTCACTGTGGGTTCTAAAATTCTTAGTATTACAGCAGTGGGTGTCAGTATGTAAGTAATTGTAACAAGAGTTTGAGCCTTAGAGCATACTAAAGTGTCTAAAAATGCAGCTATAATTGCTCTCAAGACACCAGACCTTCTCACCATCCACTGCTTAATAAATGTTTCAATTCAAAGTAATACAACCAGAGCAAAAGTCTAACCCCTTAAGAACTTTTATCAAGTATTACCACATATTCCCAGAGTTTTTCACTGGAATATGTCTAAATTGAACTAATTTCCAGTGGCAGATATAGTAGTAACTGTCTACAAATCTCGTACTGCACAACGTAGAAAATCTGTACTATCTACACTAACACTGTAAATCTAGTAGGGAGTGTAGATCTTCAGAAAATAATTTTATTTGCCTATTACTTTTTGGCAAATCATAGAAGTATTGCTCTAAGCACAAAAATGTAGAGGCTAATATACTGTAGTATGTTGCTAATACAGCAAAAACCAATAACCAAAAATGTGAATGTATCCAAGTTCACCCAGTTAAAGGAACATTACAGGTACAGCTCATAAGAATTGTAACATCAGCCAGTGATATCAGTAGCTTTCCAAATGTTGGAATAAGACAAAAGTCAGACAGGTTTGGCAGAACAGAGATTGAGTCAAATTATTTTTACCTGCATTTTCTGAAACAGTACATTTTGGAAAGTCATGCAAAACTGTACGACCTGTGGGGATGGTTGACATTATTAAA